GATAGCTTGAGGCTCTGTCTCAAAAAAAAAAAAAGAGAGGCACGATAACAGCTTTTTCTTTCCTCGCCATTTTTGCTTTGTTTTCTTTTCTCCTTGCTGTACCTGTCACTGATCTTCAACTAATATGCTTTAATTCATTTAAAATAACAATTTCTTTTTGTAGCACCTTAGTAATTAAATTCATTACTTATCTCAAGGAAGAGCAAAGCCTGAACTGATTGGATAATTGCTTTGATCCTTACTTGTAGTCTTTTAGAAAACGAGTACATGAGCTTTCCACTTAACCAATGGTTACAAATTCTTGATAACATCTGGTTACTTGATTTGAAAAATTTGCAGCTGAGAAGATGAACGATGGACCTTAACTGAGTTTAAATTCAGACATACATAGGATCCGTATTAATCTCAGTCAACCCCTTCAAGCAGATGCCCTACTTCGGGGAAAAAGAAATTGAAATGTACCAAGGAGCGGTAAGTTACCTGTCCCATGAATTACTGTTGTGTTCAGGGCTTTTCTGACCTGTGCATAGCTTTTCTTGAAGTTAGTACCTTTTCATTTTCTTATTATGAATTATTTATTGAGGAAGGTCAAGTAAATGGCATTGTTTGCTTTTTGATAACGTGCCGCTCTAGAAGGCAGCTCAGAAACCATAGGATGAGCCTTGTTTATACACACGTATTCACTCTTAGTTAAACGGCATGTACAATCCTGCAGCTTGAGAGAGCTTTCTGCGTCCACATATGCCACAAAGTCTAAGGAATAAAAGTCAGTAACAGGTGAAAAATAAGTAGGGTAATGGCAACCATTGTCTAGAATCAGAACCTTAATTAAGCTGTGGCTATGGCCTGAACATAAAAAATTACTCTTTTATGAGTTCCTTTATTAATCTGACCCTGGCCCCTATTCAAGCACGGTTCCATAGCCATTTCAGCTGTGTAATAAAAATAGAAACTGTAATCATCATCAGTGTGTTTTATGCTGTGGTTCATCACTTCCCCAGGCCTCCTTCCCTGTCTCTGCATCTTTTCCTTTCCTCTTCCTCCCCTCTTCTCTTTGCTACAGAAGCACAAGAGCATTCATTAATCCTGACCCCTGGAAAACAAACAAAAGAGAGCCCACACAAATTCATCAGTTGAAGTGGAAAGCAAGTTACCCAGAGCAGAAGCCCACCCCATTGTTGCCAGATGAATGGTGCTGGTAGCTGGAGCCGAAGGAGGCTGCCACGCAAGAGACCTTTGATAATGCTGCCTTTATGGGAGCCCAGCACAAGAGAAACACTGTCAGCAGAGGCCCAGCCCTGCCCTGGTGTCCTCATCAGTGGGGCCTGGGGCAGCAGGCGCATAGCTGGCTCCGAGTCTTCAGTAAGGGCCAAGGCGCGGTAGCTGGAAGTGCTGTGTACGAAGTGTTTCTTTCCAGTTTTCTGAAAAAGGTTTCTGCATACATCTCCCTTTTAGGCCGTGCCTCCTTTGAAGTGTTCTCTTTAAAGACATGTTATCGAATTTTTAAACATAAGTCTATTTTTTCTGCTAAAGGTAACAGAGTGTTGTAAAATTGGTATTTACGGAGGCCACGTACTATATTACACTTGCTAAAATAATGAAAGAGTCCTGGACGCTGGCTGTGTGTTTTACGCTGTGTCTCCATTTCACAGATGAGGAAACTGAGGCTCAGAGAGATGAGGGCCTAGAATGTACTGAGTGGTAAGCGAGGGGTTGAAGTCGGTTCTGACTGACTTGCAGGGTCTTGGGAAGGGAAGGATCAGGTAGAGGAAATGCCTGCTCTGTGGTTCTCACGGGCTGCTGTGCGGGCCCCTGAGACCACAGATGGGAAACCAGTTTGGAAAATGTAGACTGATGTGCAGAGGTCAAATATAACTAGTCTAGCTGTGTTGAAGCCGTACTGGGCAGCAGCTTGACCACACCTTTCCCTCCATTGCCCATAACATTCTCTCTTCTCCATTTCCTTTCATTTTCTAACCACTTTTCTTTCATACAATCCTCTACTTTCCTGTTTTCAAGAAGTATTAAAAATAATCCTAAAGAAAACCATTCTGGCCTAGAAGCAGCTCATCTAAGACTATATCCTGATATCCGATTCTTTTCCTCATGTAAGGTGAAGGCACAGATAACATACTCTTTTGGTTCCTGTATAGATTTCTTCAGTTAACTAGTCCCAGGAATAGGCTCCAGCCCTCACGGGCGATCCCCCTTGTGAGCTCCAGGCCCACAACATGGGGAGAGCCCTTAGCACCAGAAACACCAATGCTCAATGTGTACATACACGTCACAGCCCCCTCTCTCCAGCCCCTGGCCACTGAGCTCATCTTCCCAAGCATGCCCACAAGTGGCAACTTCTTGGGAAGGCCCCTTTGTCTATAGTAAGTCTTTTGCATACTAAGGCTGTAAGGTGGGTTAAATAAATTATGCTTTACCTTTGCTTAGTATTCTACCTTGTCAAATTACTTTCCCGTCCATCATCTTGGTTACTTTGTGAAATTTTGCAGCCTGAACGTTCTTATCCCTACCTTTGAGGTGGGGACCACTGAAGGGAAAGACGGGGTCTAAATGTATTCTCGTTCTGGATCTGGTATCCTCTTCACTCTTGTAGGTTCGATAACCTTGAATTCAAGGAGTGTTCTTTTCACCAGCTAGATACCCCTCGAAATATTTTTCTCTTTAGTAATAATTGAGGTTGTCGTGAAGGTAGGTACTAAGAAATTGAAAACAGAGCTGAAGTGTGGGCCCGAGAATTTATTAAATATGAAAAAATTACTTGGTTTCATATTTATGGAAAGCTAGGTATCTGATGAGGCTAAATCACAACCCCAGGAGAATACCTTGGTGTGGTAGGATGTTTTTTCCTCCTTAATAGAAATTGGGGGGGGGGGGAGCAATTAGCCAGAGTAGTTCATTCCTTTAAAAAAAAAAAACAAGGGCAATGCCTGTAGACCCCATATGCCTGAAGTGGTGGGTTCAAAAACTGCAAAAAAAAAAAAAAAAAAAAACAACCATGGCTCCTTTCCTCTTCTTAGGGAAGATTTTCAGTTTTTTTTTTTTTTTCATTAGTCTCTCTTAATCCCCTCTGAGGTCTTAGACTCTGCAACCTGCCTCTTAGGATTTTGGAATTCTAGGAGAAGTCAGATCCAGGTGTTCGGGAGGCGTTGCCTAAGACCTGTTGCCCAGGTGTCTTCTGCAACATTTAGACATGCAGCGTCGTCTGCAGAGGCATGTCAGGGTGTCAGGGTGTGGCGCTGGAGTGGCTGGAGATGTGGGTCACGTCCAGAAGGCTGAATGATGCCTCTGCCTGTGGAAGCATCCTTCCAAATTCCACCTTCACGGCCCAGGAGATTTCATAAATTCATGTTTCATGCGACCTTTAAGATGTAATTATAGGCATTGGAACTATATCGTGGTGGGTGCATTTCTAAGGCCAAGAAAACAATGTGATGAGTTTTCTATCTGACCATGGTTTTGTCTTTGTTCTTTTCTGTTCTAGGCCCAGTATGAAAACCCACCGCATATCTATGCCCTTGCAGATAGTATGTATAGAAACATGATCATTGACAGGGAGAACCAGTGCGTCATCATCAGGTATGAGAAAATCTTTATCAGTAGGTATGGAGGATGTGAGACCGTCTGTGGTTATGGGGTTCTCTCAAGCAGCAGCGTTTTTGCAACAGCTAGTGGTGTCAGAGGCTGGTGTTTCTGAGGGAAGAGCAGCCTGGCTACTTTATCCTGGTTTATTTTATAACTATCTATATCATAGAATTCCATATCATAACAATTGGGAACCTCCATAGAGTTATTGTCTATGCCTCTATTAAGGCATTAACATTTAAGGCACGTGGTGCCAGCCGGACCTGTCTGTTATCATCGAGGTCAAGTTGCGCCACCCTGGCCCTGGATGAAAATCATAAAACGTCTCTCCTCCCATTTGATTGTACTGTGGCTTTACTCTGAGTCAGAGATACTTCACGTCGTAAGTGAAATAAGCATGTTTCACTGTTTGGTCAGCTGGAGTCCTTTTCTTCAGGTCCCATAATTCAGTAATTCATTTTTAAATTTTCTTATTGTACTTTGTCATTTGCTTTGAATTTTTGAGGACATCACTGATAAATGCTAGCATTAGGTTTTGGTATCTGTGTTTCATAATCTCTCTAAACTGACCTGGTTCTGAGAATTGGTTGGTTTAAGAGCTTTTAAAATTCTGCTTCCTGGCTCGGCGCCTGTGGCTCAAGCCGCTAAGGCGCCAGCCACATACACCTGAGCTGGCGGTTTTGAATCCAGCCCGGATCCGCCAAACGACGATGACGGCTGCAACCAAAAAATAGCCGGGCATTGTGGTGGGCACCTGTAGTCCCAGCTACTTAGGAGGTGGAGGCAGGAGACTCACTTGAGCCCAGGAGTTGGAGGTTGCTGTGAGCTGTGATGTCACAGCACTCTACCCAGGGGAACAGCTTGAGGTTCTGTCTCAAAACAAAACCAAAAATTTCTGCTTCCTTTTGTGAACATTTTCAAATACGTAGAAAGTAGGGTCTTCATAGTCTCATCACTTAGAGTTTGACGGTTAACCTTTTGTCTACATATTTGTCTTTTTTCGTTAATTTTTTTTTTTTTGTATCTGAAGCATTTGGGGGGAAAGTTTTTTATTACGCATATTTACAAACAACACAAAATTAAGAAAGAATCGTATAGTATCTCCCTGTGTATCAGTCATCCATTATGTATCATTATCAACATACGGCCAGTCCTATTTCCTTGGGTCTTCCCTTCCTGCCCCCCTCGATTATTTAAAGCAAATAAATCCTAGATAGCAAATTCCTTTATGTATCAATATTGAGTATGTATGGCTCGGCGCCTGTGGCTCAAGCGGCTAAGGCGCCAGCCACATACACCTAAGGTGGCGGGTTCGAATCCCCAGCCCGGGCCCGCCAAACAACAATGATGGCTGCAACCAAAAAAAAAAAATGGCCAGGTGTTGTGGCGGGCGCCTGTAGTCCCAGCTACTTGGGAGGCGGAAGTAGGAGACTCACTTGAGCATGTATGTTGGAGGGGGATAGCTTGAGGCTCCGTCTCAAAAAAAAAAAAAAAAAATTGAGTATGTATCTCTAAGAGATTTTTAATCAGACTATAAAAATGAGTTCTTTTCTGTCATCTAATATTATCAGTATTCTAGTTCCATGACTAGCTTTTAAATTCTTTTTTATAATGTGTTGGTCTTTCTGACCATGGTTTTTTGTTTGGTTTGGTTTTTTTGTTGGTTTGTTTTTATTTAGGATCCAAACAAGGCCCCTACATTGTGCTTGGTTGCTCTGGCTCCCAAGTCTCTCATTTGCTAACAATTCTCCTTTGCTTTTGTTTTCTTGGTGTGTATTTGTTAAAGAAAACGGTGAGCCGGGCTCGGTGTCTCACACCTGTAATCCTAGTGCTCTGGGAGGCCAAGACGGGTGGATAGTCTGAGCTCATGGGTTCGAGACCAGCCAGAGCCAGAGCGAGACCTCGTCTCTAAAAGAACAGCCAGGTGTTGTGGCAGGTGCCTGTAGTCCCACCGATTTGGAAGGCTGAGGCAAGAGCATCACTTAAGTCCAAGAGTTTGAGGTTGTTGTGAGTTGTGACGGCACTCTACCTCAGGCTACTAAAACTCTGTCTAAAAAAAGGAAGGATGGAAACGAGGGAGGGACAGAGGAAGGAAGGAAGGAAGGAAGGAAGGGATTTGTCCTGCTGACCTTCGTACAGTTTGGCATTGGCTGATTGTGTCCTATTATGTTGCTTAAGTATTCCACTGTGTTTTCTGTGAACTGGTAGCTTAATGTAAAAAGCTTGATCAGATTCAGATTTAGTTTTTGACAAAAATACTTCCCTCATGATGCTATGCCTGTTGGTCTGTTTAATTATTTTTCTATTCTATTACTCCCTCTGCATTTATTATTAATAGTTGGAGTCTTTTTAATTTGGTCACCTTAAAACATGAACCATATGGAAAAATTAGAGAAAATGCTTGAGTCATTGCCTTTACTTACCTGTTTCCCCAAAGCAATATGTTGTTGCCCTAGCAACCTCCCAAGGTAATGTGTTTTTATTTTCAGTATTATGCCAAATGAGTGGATTTTAAATATTTTCCCTACTTAACGACATTCCAGTTATATGTTTTGGGGCTAAAATGATCCTACTGCTGACCAGTTTTGACATCACCCGAGTCACGTCTCACAGTTACCTTCTGTCTTTCATGGTTAGTGTTCCAAGTTCACCGGCACTTTCCCTGTGCCAGACCTGGAGTCTGCTGTTTCTCCAAGGGGCCCTGGTTCATTTTAATGGGAAATGGTGTTTAAAGACCACTTATCTCCACACTAAAGAATGCTCACTGCCCCATGTTTTCAATGTTTCTAGTTCTTTTGAGAGGACAAAGCTAAGGAAAGTGAATTTTTTTTTTTTTTTGAGACAGAGCCTCAATCTATTGCCCTTGGTAGAGTGCTATGGCGTCACAGCTCACAGCAACCTCCAATTCCTGGGCTTAAGCGATTTTCTTGCCTCAGCCTCCTGAGTAGCTGGGACTACAGGCTCCCACCACAATGCCCAGCTGTTTTTTTTTATTGTAGTTGTCATTGTTGTTTGGCAGGCCCAGGCCGGATTCAAACCCTCCAGCTCTGGTGTATGTGGCTGGCGCCTTAGCCGCTTGAGGTACAGGCACCGAGGCAGGAAAAGTGCCAATCTTTTAAAGAGAAGAATAAAATGAGTTTGTACTGAGGTTTCCAGTTCATTTTTAAGATTGCAGGATTTTTATTTCTTTGATTTTTATTTTATATCCCATTTTTCGTACTACTGAAAATCTTGGTTCCTGATGACCTTAACACAGTCATATGCTTTACATTGTGTGTGTATTTTGTAGATAGATAAAGCAATTAAGTAATCTTGTTACTGTTTAAAATAATATTATCAGTAGCAATACTAAATTCATTTTAAAATTGCTTTGTCAGTCTTTCTGTCCAAATACACAATATTTACAAACAAAGTACTGGGTTCTAATAGATAATTAAAATAATCCCTTTCTGTGTTTTTAATGTGCCAGCCTGAGTAAGCCATACTTAGGTTTATTTATCTTAATTGGTATTTTAGTGGTTTAAAATTTTTTAATTTGGCTCAGCGCTTGTGGCTCAGGCGGCTAAGGTGCTAGCCACATACACCTGAGCTGGCGGGTTCGAATC